TAAGGTAAGTTACGTTACTACTACTATACTAGTACGTACTAGTAGTACTACTACTGTCGTACTAGTAGTACTATTATACTATGCATAGAGTAGTACGGTCTCGTCTCTCTCTCTCTCTCTCTCTCTCTCTCTCTCTCTCTTCTTCTCTCTCTCTCTCTCTTCTCTCCTCTCTCTCTCTCTCTCTAATGGTTCATCATTCCTCTAATGGACTATGGTTCCTTCCTAATGTCAGTGGCATTTTCGTGCCTAATGTGAAATTCCTTTTAGAATGACTTGATTGATGGTCTTGCACAAATTTAGTCAGGATATGCTATAGATTGCATATTTATCTGTCTAATTGAACTTTTAAGTTTTTGTTTATGTACTCATTGTCATTGATGGAATTTATATTAGGTGGATACTACAATTTTAGGCCTTGACGACGAAAGGGCAAAAGATATGCCTTTCATTGCAAGTATGGGTATCTATGTGGTAAGCAAAGATGTGATGTTGGACCTATTGCGTGAGAAGTTTCCTGGAGCCAATGACTTTGGAAGTGAAGTCATTCCCGGTGCTACTTCCATTGGGTTGAGGGTATGTTAAACTCTAACATTGGCAGTGATCTTTTCCTAGAGCGGCAGTCCCATCATTTAGAGTGTTAACATTATATATATATATCGAAAATTATACAAAGAGACCATTTACTTCTAATACAATGAGGTCACAATGACTTTTGTCCATCAGATTTCAGTTTGGATGGTTGTAAGTGTACCATTGACTATAATCCAAGTTCAAAATAAACTTTTCTCGAACTTTGTGATACCCCAAGCCATCCAATTTGACATCTAATGACTGATACCAATTGTGACCTCCTTGTACCAAAAATAAATGGTCTCATAGTATACAATTCCATATACACACGCGCACGCACACAAAATAGCCCCACTTCATATATTCTTTCTAAATGCAGAGTTTGCTTTGATTCTTCCCTAATGGTTGCCAAGATCTAATGTTTCTTTATTTCTTTTACTTAATCTATTCTTTGGCTTATTAAGCTTGTTAATCATGTTGTGGTTAGTTTCTCTATTTATATGCTTCTTTGTTGCTCAAGAGGCTTGAGGAACTGTCCCTATCTAAAATGAAAATATGTTTATTGATGAAATCATTAAACTACGGAATCTTCCCTCTTTACAGGTCTTCTTATTGAAGTTATTATTTTGTCTCATCCACCAAAACTCTTTTTCTACTTTTTTTTGCTTTCTTCATTTTCCCTTGGTCGCCCACCTCTATCATATTGCATGGTAATGTATGACTACGGTTTATTCAATGTATGAATTATTTTTAATATCTGGCACAATGGCTTTCTCTGCATGTCAATTGCTTATACATTAGCTTCTTATACAATGAATTACTGATTTCTACATTTGAATGATGTGTAGGTCCAAGCTTACCTGTTTGATGGATATTGGGAGGATATTGGTACCATCGAGGCATTCTACAATGCTAATTTGGGAATAACCAAAAAGCCCATACCCGATTTCAGGTATTCTTTTACAGACAAATATCAACAGAAGGTTATTTGATCATCCTATCGAAGAGGGTTGAGAAAATGGATCTATGCATGAAGGTTAAAATTAGCGTAATTATTAGAAAAGGTTTAAGTTTTGTTTTGGTTTGTTAGTTGTAACATAATCAAACTTACCTTTTTCTGCTAAGGTTTTAGGGACTTTTGCTCACGTTGTATCATGTGGTCGACGTACTGGAATTGATTTAAGAAATTTAAATGTTGTTTATCCACTGTTTTATTACAGCTTCTATGATCGTTCTTCTCCAATATATACGCAACCTCGGTATCTACCTCCTTCAAAGATGCTTGATGCCGATGTGACAGACAGTGTTATCGGTGAAGGTTGCGTGATCAAAGTAAGTTTGTTACAGATAATAATCTTTCTTAATGAATTGAACGTGTCTTGGGGTATATCTGAAGTCCTAAACTCAATAAAGGCCATGTTCATTTGTTTACACAAATAATTCTTCTTTTTTTATCTCTTCACACTTTAAAATTTGCATATACAGTACAAACTAATAGCTGAAATCAGTCGTAGACCCTGGCTTGATCAGTTGACAGAAGTCTTTAAGTGGCCAGCCTACTGTGACAAATGAGATTTCATTTTCCATCTAAATCCAAATGAACCTAATTCATTAACCCAAAACCATCATAATTACAAATAACTACTATGTGCTCAATTGATCTGTTAGCCAAATACCCCTTGTGGTACTGTAAAAATCAGTCCCATGGGCATTACATGAGGGAGAAAACTATCCCCAATAACATTACATGGCATTGAATGTGCACTATGTCCAATGTGATCTTACTTAATTATCTTGAGGAAGCAAGTTGGAATGTTAGTGGTGGTTTCAAATCATGGTCTTGCCTTTTTGTTTTCCAATGATATCTTTGTTCCTAAAATGATTATAATGTACAACTAATTACATGGCATTGAATGTGCAGTATGTCAAATGTGATCTTACTTAATTATCTTGAGGAAGCAAGTTGGAATGTTGGTGTTGGTTTCCAATCACGGTCTTGTCTTTTGTTTTTTCCAATGAGAGGATATTGTTCCAACAGTCCAGTTCTTACAAAATGCCTAGGGAGAAAATGTGAGGCTTACCAATTGAATGGTAACATCTGTCATGTGCTCATCCCATCGAAAAATTAAAATTACTCCATCGAACGAAAAATTACTCCAATTATAGCTTCTTTTTGAAGGGCAAAAGCCCTAATATTCTCTAGAAATGTTCCTTGTTTTAGTTCTTCATGCTTATAAGAGATATTCAATTGCTATTGTTTAACTGTCCATTTTTTCCTTTTTTGCTTATGTAGAACTGCAAAATCCATCATTCTGTGATTGGGCTTCGTTCTTGTATTTCGGAGGGTGCAATAATAGAAGACACTTTGTTGATGGGTGCAGATTACTATGAGGTGATTTAGTTGTCTCAATCCCGTTGTCTTCATTTCTTTATTTGTTTATTTTTGGCTCAGTGGCTTTGTAATGATCTTTGGACTCTATTTATCTTGGTTTATAATTTGTGAACTAAATTTTGTTGCAAAACTATATTGTTCTGTCAGACTGATGTCGATAGGAGATTTTTGGCTGCAAAAGGTAGTGTGCCAATTGGTATTGGAATTAATTCTCACATCAAAAGAGCAATTATTGATAAGAATGCGCGCATTGGTGACAATGTAAAGGTTAGTATCCCAAACTTTTGTGGAATATGAGCTTCATCTCTCCATGTTATATTTTTGAAGAACACGATTAGCCTTTTTTTTGTCATGCCAATATGGCCAATATGGCAAGTCATATTTATTGATTGAGGAAAGTAGCATATTTGTATTGAATTTTATTGGTCCTTTTTTGTCATTTTGAGGAAGATAAAGTAGATTATAAAGAAGAAACATATTTGAAGTACATATTTTGGGAAGACAAACACATAATGATCCCATTTAAGTAGTTGGGTCAAACTTGCTATTTGATGTGATACTGTAGTAGCAGGTTACCTTGCCAAAGATGTGGCTAAAGGTTTGAGTGAATGTGTTGGATAGTTTCATCACCATCATAAAAATTAATTTCTGTATAGTTTTGTTTGGATAGTCTTTTTTATATCTTTTTTTTTTTTTTTTTTGTGATTATTAGTTCCATTTCTTTTCGTCTTTTTTTTTCAATGGAAAAATATCAAACAACCATTCTTTTTTTTTTTTGCTCTTTAGTTCTATATTTGGAATCATTATTAATTAAATATGGAATTTAAAAAGTTGAATTATTTATTTATTTTCTTTTCCTCGTTGAATTACTTATTTTTTTTCTTTTCCTCGTTGAATTACTTATTTATTTTCCTTTCTTCAGATCATCAATGGAGACAATGTACAAGAAGCTGCAAGAGAAACAGATGGGTACTTCATAAAGAGCGGAATTGTGACAGTGATAAAAGATGCTCTCATCCCCAGTGGTACTGTGATATAAATCTCTTCTTAGAAGTCTCCTTTTCTCGAAGCTTTTTCACGAAGCTATTTCTTTTTCAATCTATAGAGATCTAAACCCTTGGTGCAGTTGTAAATTCTCTTCCCTAATAATAATCTAGATTTTTTTGCATTTTCAGAGATGTGTACTTCTTGCATTTTCAAAGACGTGTTCATGTGTCTTATCTAATCTAGATTTTCTTTCATTGTTAAAGACGTGCCCTTCTTGCATTTTCAAAGACGTCTCCATGTGTCTTGCGTTTACATGGATACATGTATCTTATATTTACGGATACTTATCACTTATCGCATCTAACATGGATACGAATTTCAAGCGTACTGACCCAAAATATATACATAAATACATCACTTGGAGAGAAAAAAAGAGAGTAAAAGAATCGGATTGATGTGAGATTAACAATATAGCGACATTTTTTAGTAGGATGTATTGAATAGGATTAACATGACATTAACTACTTGATTACCTTTTTTAATAGGATATGTTGAGTAGGACTAACATGACATTAACTACTTGGTTACATTTTAATAAGAGAGGTTAAAAGGCCATCTCTTTTGTGAAAGTGGCTGAAATAAGAGTCATATCATCATTATTGATTCAAATGATGAAATATTTGACATTTAAAAGGCCATCTCTTTTGTGAAAGTGTCTGAAATAAGAGTCATATCATGATTATTGACACAAATGATGAAATATTTGACATTTAAAAGGCCATCTCTTTTGTGAAAGTGTCTGAAATAAGAGTCATATCATCATTATTGACACAAATAAGAGTATATCTTTGTCACGGAGGTAAAATGCCTTTGACATTCATGTATATGTTTTTTATGGAGATCAATGTAAAAAACATTTTATATTCCATTCCAGAAAGAATGGAATGGACAAAAAGAAGAATCTCTATATACATGCGTACATACATGTTTACGGATATACATGTTTACGGAGATGAATTTCGAAATTTTTTGATTTTTGTCTCTGTTACATGGTAACTGTACTGGAATGCATAAAAGAAGTATGTCATAAATCACTTTTGTGAGTGCCTAAACACCTAAAGAACTCCTGTCGCCTCCATGAATATAGGGAGAGGGGAAAGAGTATATGTTCAATTATTTCATTTCACAATTTACTTGATAAATAAAATAAAATAAAAATATATAAAAAAGTATAAATTATAAAAATAAAAAGATTATCTGCTTACTCTAGTCTCCTTAAAGCATAAAAAAATAACAAACAATATTACCCAAAAAGAAAACTAAAATGGCTTAATAAATAAAATAAAATTCAAAAATAAAACATATAAAAAAAAACTATAAAATACAAAAATAAAAATATTCTCTCTTACTCTACTTTCCTTAAAGCATAAAAGATTAAAAACAGCATTAACCAAACATATTACATGATAAAAAGCAGAACATAAAATGCAAAAATAAAAAGATTCTCTCTTACTCTTACTCTATTGGTTTTGAAGCATAAAAAAGATTAAATCGGTCTCTTTCCTCACCCTTCTCCCTCCTTATATACCACCTACCTTTTTTATAACAAATGAAAATATGATATTTCATTTCATGGTTCCGTGCCTTCCTCAAGTCGACTCGGAGTCTGGCAGCTCACCTTACCCTTAGAAAGAAGTTTTAAGATGATTTTGGTAGTTTTTAAGATGAATTTAGTAGTTTTTAAGAAGATTCGAGAACTTTTATATATATTTTTACCCTTTTTCCAATTTTTTAGAATATTCAAAATCTAAATAAAAAATTTCAATAATCCATATTCTGTATATCTTGTTCGATCTTTTAAAAATTCTAATGATTTTTACACATTTTCTCTTATTTTTACTTTTTTTTTTAATTAAAAAAAACCAATTTCTTTGCCCTTTTTGGGGGCTAAAAAGGGGCTATGCGTCACTCCATACTCGACGACCGGGACTCGTCTCGGCTCGGCGACTGATCATGAATACAAAGTTATCAAAACTGTAGTTTTCAAAAGCACAAAAAAGTAACAAGAGTTTATAAATCGAACTATCATAAAATAACTATTATACGCCACAATGTAGCTCCAAATCAATGAAAAATTAGTTACTTCTATTTGTTCTAGAGCGTGATTAACTTCAAAGTAACTGAGCAAGAACGCTAAAATATTTCATATAGCATAATCAAAATAAAAATGCACAGGAAAATATATATCTTGGTAAAACTTATATTGGTAAAACTAAAATTTATTGTTCAGTAATAATTTATGTAGCACAATCAAAATAAAAATGGACAGGAAAATATATATTGGTAAAACTAAAATTTATATACCTCTTCGGAGTGCTCCAATGCCACAACATATGCTCTTAAGCCTCTTCAAGGCTCCTCTCTCAAATAGCTATTTTAAGAGACCATTAAAAGGTTTTATAACATAACAATAAATAAGATGAATGCTTATCACAATAAGAGCATATTATTCTCAAAGGTTTTATAACATAAAAAATATATAAAATAAATGCTTAAGTTTTGTCGCTTTTCAAGGCTGAGTCAAGCGAAGAGTATGACTTGTTCGTATGCCCCATTCCTACATGAACCATAGTTTGCTAGCCCGCCCAAAATATTCATATTATATCCTCGCTTAAGTTTTTGAGTGTAAAAGTAAAAATATGGGTGCATATGATAAAGGACCCGGTTTCTATGCGGCCAAGCCTGCATTTATTAAAATGCGGTCCTCTTAATAAATCTATTTTTGAGATAAGACATAATTTTTAAGAATTTGTAATCTCTAACATGGAGATCATGAACATGAATAATTAAATAAATTTTAAAAACTAAAAATAATAATTCTAGTAAGAAACATTTTGACAATTAGTTTCCATTGTTTTTGGATGGAACACCTACTCGCATCCATGTTTAAGCTGGAATTTCATTAGAAGAAGTTGCTTTGATGCTCAAATATCATCAAATTAATCATCCGGGTCTCGAGATGCATGAACATAAGAAAAGAATAGATTTCAAGTTTTGAAAATAGTGCTCCTGGTAATATGCACTTTTGAACCGTCAATTTTCAAGATTTTCATAGACCTGTTCGATCTACACTATTTTTTAAGCTTTAAATTTTATAATTATAAATGAAAATATAGTTTAAGGTTATCATAAAGTTTTCTAGTATTGAAACCACATTTCTCGACACTATTTAATTTTGTTTGGAGCCTCGACCTTATACAAACCGCACAAAAGCATGGGTTAGAATTAGCAATCCCTAGAATAATTAATTTTTTTTGTTGAATGAGCACTATACTAATGAAAATCAAGAGCTTATCACGTTTGCATCAAGCACTGATGTCTATTTTGTTTGCAAGTGATAAATACTTGAAGTTAGCCAAGGCCTAACTAGATAGCACATGACGATTCTCAACGCTACGACCTAGGCTCAACTCCTATCAAGGTAGGGGCCCTCTCCCTATTGGTTCATCCGGGGGACCCCTCCCCACTTGCTCCTTCCAAAAAGAAAAAGAAAAACAATGAAAAACTTGAGAAAAACAACCAAAAACTTGAGAAGGAGGTTATCCATGGTACAGATGATGGAGAACAACATTCTTTTTTAACATATACACTATTTTTAGAGCTTGAAATCCTATTTTGTTTTTATAACCATAACGTTCAAGTCAAGATGATTGATGCAAATATTTTTCAATGCTTGAATTGAGGCTTTACTTATTTTGATAGGGTTGCAGCCAATATCAAACCATACTTTTATATATATATATATATATATATATACTTCTCCTACAACATATAAGTTCTATCCTCCCCTTACCATCCAGCTGTCCAATTTTGATCGAGAGAGCCACTCATCGTTTGATCTTAGATTCGATGTCTCAAAATATTTTATTTTTAGTTTTTTTTATATAAATTGTATGAATATAAAAATTGGTACGTGCCATCTTCTCATTGGGGCGCACTTATAAAAAATATTAAAAATAATTTTTCGATAAAATATAATGACCAAAATACCCCTTGAATCTTTCAGGGGTATTTTGGTCATTTTATTTATTTGAAAATATATTTTTTATATTTTTTGCTAGTGGGAGTTTAATAGAGGAATGGACATCGAATATTTGGTGTCAAAATAGTTTATAGAAAAAAAAATTAAAAATAAAATAGTGTAGAGACGTGACAATGTGATGGGGGCGATTTTAGGGCTCCATTCAGAATGGACGATTGGATAAGGGGGAGTATAGGACTTCTATGTTGTAGTGGAAGCATAGAAAGCTTGCCCATTTTTAAATGTACACTCTTTTCATTCTGAAGAACAATCACAAAAAATAAATTTTAAGCATGCCCATTTTTAAATGTACACTCTTTTCATTCTGAAGAACAACCACAAAAAAGAAAATTTTGAAAAAATATTATAGAAAGTTTTCATTCTAGCCCAATTAATATAAGTCGTATATTTTATTGAGATGGTTAGATATAGGCCTCAGAAGGATTTTTTTTTTATTCCCAAAATTTTTATATAGCATTATCATCATTAGATTAATAATGCTAAAAAAGGAAAAAATGACTTTGAATTTGGTAAGGCCTAGATCTTGAAATTCACCAAATAGATGGTCGATATTCATTTTTGGATGGTACTAATTTTGACCATATCTTGGGTGCAAATTGATTTTTTTTTTTCTTCATAGGATTGATTATGAGGATGAAGAAAATATGTGTACAAAATTTGGAGTTCG